AGATAAAAATAAACAGTAAATTATAGTTTTAAAGATGTTTATGATGAATTTAATCTTTTCTATGTCCAGAATTAAGAAAATTGGTTCATATTTGAAGAAAATGCAGATTTATATGATGAAATCAGACTGAATTAGGTGATTTATTGGATATATTGAGTCCGTTAAGCCCAAATTATTCAAATTCTGACTTATAGTGAACATCAAAAGGGTTATTCTTGATGGAAATAACATTTTATAAAAACGGTAAATGATTGTTTTAATAATTATTTTGCTGTCTTTAGGAAGGTCCAGGACCTTCTTTTGAAATTAAACTAACATGTTGGAGGAACAAGTTCCTAAAAACTACATATCTGCAGATATTTACTGAACAAATGACCTAAAATCAGCGACTACATAAACGAAGGTCCCACATTTGTGCAGGTTACAGTCAACACGGGCAGCTGTGAGCGCCGTGAGCCAGCAGATGAAGTTCAGCTGCCGGATCCGATCGCAAACACAGAAAGCACGAGTCGGTGAGGCGGCGAGCGGCTCGAGTCTAATCGGCCTCCATCTGCAGCAGATCTGGTCACCTACTGTCTCCATAACAACGCAGAGGCCCCACGTGGTAGACGGCCATGGAGCCGGTCCGGTTGGTGTCTCCCACCACGACCTGGCTCACGGGGAGGTGGTCCTTGTAGGAGAGGACGCCGGTGTCGTTGGTCCTGCAGCGCACAGAGACAGGAAGAGAAAAAAAAAGGAAAAACAGGAAAATTAGCAGCGACACGGAGCACCAGAGGCCGGATTAGTTTCCGGAGGTCCAGATAAAAGCATCTATTCTTCTCCATTAGCTGCGAGTGCACAGCAAACACACGGCGGAGGGGAAGCGATCCATCACGGCGCCGGTGGAAATATGCAAACGGAGCCGGATCCGGGCGGATTAACATGCAGCAAACAAAAGAGCGTCTAATGCACAAACACTCTTTGTCTCTCCGCCCGGCGCTCAGAAGCCATGATTAGTTTGATCGTGATTCCAACGTCGAGCTGTAATTAATCATTTTCGGGGGTAAACTGTCAGAGACGATTTGCGCGCCGTGTGATGGGGTTCTTTCACATTCAAATGAGAGAACGCTGCAGAACATTAAAGTGAGCTGAACTGATTTCAGGTTTTATTTTCTCTCTGAGCGTCTAATCAGTGAAATGACTAATTATCCGTAAGTCGTCATTCCACAAATGCGTCACTCTGTCTCGTCGCTGCTCGTCTTCTTCAGCTGACATCCAAACCAGCGAGGAACGTTCCCGGAACATCCCCGACAAGTCCTAACAATACCTTAAAGCATCAATCTAATCTTGTTAATCCGTTCTAACAACGTTCCCACGAGGTTAAAAGTGGACGAAACAACGTTAGGACGACGTTTTCGGGAACACAGATGATGTTCTTAAACCAACGTTCATAAAATGTTTTCGGGGATGTTCCTGAGGAAACACAATAAAGAAATCTCAGAGGAAAAAAAGTGTTTTCCAAATGTTATCAAATGACAGAACGTTCTTTAAAGCACATTTTTGATGTTTTAACAATGGGGGAACATTCTGTTCTGAGGACGTTTAGGGGACGTTGTTGAGGGTACACGATATAGAGCGTTCTTCTATAAACCGTTCTCACAATGTTCCATGACAACAAAGGAGGAACGTTCTCGAAACAGACGTTCAAAAAGTGTTTTCCAAATGATAGCACATTTTTGATGTTTTAACAACGGGGGAACGTTCTGGCTGTGATGTTCTGAGGATGTTTTGGGGACGTTCTTGAGGGGACACGATATACAGCGTTCTTCTATAAACCGTTCTCACAATGTTCCATGACAACAAAGGAGGAACGTTCTCGAAACAGACGTTCAAAAAGCGTTTTCCAGAAGTTATCAAGGCCTCAGACGGCAGAACGTTCCTGTAATGTGACGTATTAAAGGTGGAACCACATTATAAAACGTTCTTTCATGAAACATTCTCACAATGTTCCATGACAACAAAAGAGGAACGTTCTGTAAATGCTGTACTAAAGGTGGAACATTTTGCCTTGTTGTTTAGGGAACACTTCTAAAACGTTCTTCTGTAGAACATTACACCAGCAATAACAAAAGAAGTATGTTCTCAATGCAACATTTGTAGAACCTTTTCAAGATGTTACGGAGGCGTCAGATGACAGAACGTTCCTGTAATGTGACATATTAACAAACGTTCTGGCTGCGACGTTCTGAGGATGTTTTGGGGAGGTTGTTGACACAACACATCACTGAATCTGCAAAACATTCCCACAACGTTACACAAACAAAGGAGGAACGTTCTCAAACAACATGAAAAAAAAACGTTGATGTTATCGACGCCTCAGAGGATTTATATGAAAACGTTCCAGTAATGTAAGATCCTAACAAAGAACGATCTGACGGCAGCGATCTTCAGGGATCAGACAGGAAATAAAACTCAGAGGATGAAACAGAAACGCGAGACTCAGGCGACACATGAGGAGCAAAACTCAAGAGCAGATGTAAAAATTAAAGAACGTTTGTAAGAAAAGTGCTTCGATGACAAAAGAAAAGTGTTCAGAAGTGATTTAAGAGCAGCTGTAACACGGCGGAGCTCCTTCAGGCACGACCGAGGGAACCGAGCAGCAGACGTTTGGTGGCCTTCGGTCTTCCAGCGTGAGGTGGGAACAGTCAGCGGGTTCCTGCCCGAGGATCTCAGGCTGCTGCTGAGGCTCTTTACATAAAGCACAGATACATGCTGGAAAAAGGACAGAAGTGCAAAAAATGTGGGCGTCTATGGCGAGTTTAACATTTAATAGTTTGACTATGTGGAATTAAAGTTATAGACGTTGGCTGGAATAACATTTGCAGATGTTTCTGTGTGAGATGCTGCTCATGTGGATGTTGGTCCAGAGGAGAAGCTAAACAGAAGCTGCTGTGGACGATCACCTGGTCAGACAATGAAACAGGAAGTGCTCATCAGGAGGTCTGTGGGGAAACTAAGTTCACTAGAATGTGGTCCTCTGCTGCTCTGACATGTGGTGTAGTAATTAATTAATGGCACTAATTAATAACACTGGTCTACATCCAGTTTGGTGTCCGATTTGTTTGAGCTGATTTTGGACAATTGCAATGTGCTGACTCCAAACATTACCGTGGTTTTACTCAATGATTTGATGAAACATGCAGTTTATTTGTATTTACCTTTACAAATGTTTACGCTCATCAACTTTTGGATCATTTAGCTTCTGAAAAGGATTAGAAAATGAATTTTTTTCCTCTAAAATACGATTTCATATAAGAAATACTAAAATAAATCTTCACAAATGTCAAAAAATGGGATCGATTTAGTGGCAAAATCGATTTTTTTTTTTATCGGGTTGGCACAAAAACCCGACCTGATACAGAAAAGCAGACGTCATTTTTGGATTCAGTGCTGCAGAAATGTCCTAAATCAGTTAAAAAAATCCAAGACACCTTTAAAAAATTCTTGTTTTGTTACCCGGTGTAATCAGACATCTGCAACCACATCTCAGTCAAGCTCTTCATTCAAGTAAATAAATTCTGAGGAGGCAAAATTCCAGTTTTAAATTCTCTGACGTCATTCTGGCCAGTTCAATTTAAGGATAAGGAACTGAAAACTATCTTAAACTAGAATTACAATTAGTGAGAATTAAACTGTAGATATCTCAAAAAAATTAGAGATATCGTCAACACGGCCAGAGACCAGCAGCGATGCCGCCTCAGCGCCCGCATTCTCCACCAGAAACCCAATGCGTCACGTTAAGCATTTTTAAAAATAGGATTGTTATTATAGCTGCTGCATGTCATTTTCCTGCTTTGTTCATTCATTAAGACAGCAGGTTCATGTAAAGGGTGTGCTGACAGATGAAGACTGAAGTGTGTGATGGACTACATGAGGGGCCAACATGGTGCTGTTGGGGTATGAAGACAAAGCTGCCGACCCGCCACACTGGGACAGTGCAGCTGTGTTGGACGGTGAATTCTACTGGTTACTTTAAGGAGCTGATCGTGGGGGACAGACATTTTTTAAAAACAGTTTTTGCCAGTTAGACTGTATTTCAGTCCATTGTAAATATATAAGAATTGGATAACTCGCATTCTGTTGGTACCGATTATTATTATTATTATTATCATCCTGTTGCACACGTCAAGTTAATTATATTACATCCTGAGTAATCTCAACACTTCTCAGGTGAACACTTTGCACACTTTGATTGCTTTTTATTACCGTTATGATTCCCTTGATTTTCTGCGCTTAGCGTCGATTGATTTGCAACACTTCCTCTGAAATCTTCTTTTAAAGATTTTCTACTGTTTACTGTTTCGCACCAAAAAAAAAAAAAATCAAATTCCTCGAATGTGAACAAAACATTTTGATTAAAACTTCCGGTTATGAAGCCTGCAGCTCGATGCTCTGAGATTTCCTCTCTTCATAATCCACGACGACGCAAGGATCCACATGACAAATACCAAAAATAATTATCCTTTTCCAAATCTACCAAAACATGAGGAGAAGCCGAGGTCAGATCCACCCGGATCAAAACGCAATTAACGGTGCACCGGGAAGCAATGATCACAGCCTCTTACTCCCACACAGCACAAGTCGTATAAATGAAAAATTTAAACATTTTAAATCATCCATGACACTCTCTAAGTGCAAGAAATTAAATGACTCACCTACTGTATGACCATAAAAGTGAGATAGATATACACCCTGTACATACTGTAAACGTTCTCTCTGACAAGCTTAATTACAGATCGCTGCAACAAGACATCCGGTCTAGCCGCTAAACGTTAAAAGGGTTTGCTCAATGCGTACCACGAGTCTGTATCGGCGTCACAGTTGCAGAAGTAGTTCATGTCGACGCAGTTTTCCTCCAGGCTGCAGGAGCACTGCTGCACTCCGGGCAGGAAGCCTCCCCAGTAGCTCCTCCTTTCCCCTTCGCGGTCGAGCCACCAGGACAGCGGGCTGCCATCTGCAACAAAACACCAGACAATCAGCGACCAGCCGAGACAACCCGACGCCCACGACAACCTGAAGAGGCTGGCGCAGCGCTGAGGACACAATCAAACAGAGGAAACCTCAAAAGAGACTTCGGGAGAGCAGAACACGGCGGTGTGATGATAAGGAAACCACAGATGGGGAGATAAAAAGCACCGCGAGCACATTAAACGTGTCTGTTTCTGAGCACGCAGCAGCTTTCTTTTTTTTTGGGGTAAATTCCTCTTAAGATGGACTGAAGGGAATAAAGATCCTCTCAAAGCACAACTATGATTAGTCAGAATTAAACTGTCGACATGTGATGCTGGCATTAGTGTCGCCCGCATTCTCCACCAGAAACACTGACTCACTGTGTCACACTAACGAAGCTTTTTAATTAGTTTTACTACAACCGTGGCCGTACTTCGTTTTCCTTCACATCGGCCTCACGTTGAGACACAATGAAGCCTTTTAGTTCCTTCCAGGAGTCTGTAGGGTTGGACAGGTATGTTTTCCCCTGTTGTCACCTGTTAGATTGCATTTTAGTTTTTGCTTAGGTTGACCTGGTTTACTTATTTTACTTGACAGATCATTTTGTTCGAGCTTTCTGTCCGTATCGACTCTGAAATCAAGACTCCTCATGTTTGTCAGTATTGTAAACAGTGTAAATGCATATAGGAATCTGATTACCTTCGATTCTTCTGCACATTTCAGGTCACCTGTACTACATCCAGTCTCGACACTTCTCAGGTGAACACTTTGTCCGTTCCCGCATTTTAGTTTTGTTGAATTTTCTTGCAACACTTGCTTTTAACATCTTTTATTCTGCTTTTAAAACATTTCTACTTGCACCAACAACACAGTTCCTCCTCTGATAAAACCTCGTTGGGAATAAAACAGCTTCTGATTAATGATAAATGAACCGTCAGCTCGGTTCCTCTCTCGGTAATCCACATGAAATAGTTTTCCTCCTGCTGTTGTTTGATTGTATTTCAGTTTCTCAGGTTATCCTGGTGCATTTATCCGACCCGATGGATCATTTCGGCGGTGGTTCTGGCCTGTTTGTGCGCCTGCAGCATCCTTCGAAGTGTTCATTTCTGATAAATTCCTCTTAAGGTTAATTACCTCCTCATGAATTTGCAGTTTGCAGTTCGTACATTAATCAAACCGGCTATTTTATTCATCACCGATTGACAGCGAGGCAATGAAGGCGTAATTCATCACCTCCACTAAGGGGTTAAGTGGTCCGGCTTCAATCATCCGTCACACAACGTGACCCTGCATCGCAAAGAGGCCACCGAGCCGGGAGAAGCCCATTAAGCTACATGTCACAATACATAATCAAGTGTCACATGCTGCGGCGCCGCGCTCCCATCCGGCATACATTACAGCTCCATTAGGCCCGGCTTTATGTACGGATGCACACGTCATACCGGCCCAGACACCAACAATCACCTGCCTGTGTCTCCACATGTACACATTCTGCTCCTGTGAATCCGGAAATCTCCAAACCGGTGACCTATGACTAACAGTTTAATGTCATTCGTCGTCTGGAGAGACAAATCTGACTTGCATTTCGTTGGTGAGGCTACAGCAGCGCCGGCATTTGCATCACAAAGGCTGGAAATAATGTGCGTCTTTACCCTCTTTTCCTCGTCCTTGCGGTCAGCGCAGAGATAACACATCCCTCGTTTTCTCAGCGCTCACACACCGAACAGGTACACAAATAAGAGACGGCAACGATCGATACTTCCTCAAGGAGAGGTCAGCCTCTCCCTCAAATTGGCTGGATATTGACAGAACGCATTCGCATCAAGAAAGCAAACACATCGTCCTTTCTCCTCCGCCGGAATGAGCGGAAATCAACAATTTGATAATCGCCGCATAAAGCCGGACGAGCAGCCGCTGGAGTCGGCGGCGCTCGGCGCTGGGGAGGCGGAATAAACAGCGAGGAATCCTCTCCATCTCAAACGGCAGTAAAAACTAAAACACTCGCTTTGAGTCAGAAGTGAGCCACAATTATGTGCATTTAAACTCGGTGGGAACGAGCGGCTGGAGGAGCATCGCTCTCAAACAAACAGCGTGTTTACGGCGCTACAAGTGTTTGCAGGCCAACGCCATCGCTCTGCCGCCCGACTCCTGCAGAGATCTTCACACAACAGCCAAAGTGTTCCGTAAACTCTGCGATTTTTCTCTCTCGTTCCGTCGGCGGCGTTCTCGGCGGAGCTCTGCGCCTCTAATAGCTGCTGTCTAAACAACACGCTCGTCTCACGCAGCTTCTAGTTTCTGTTTTGTGTTTTTTTTTACGCAGGAAGCAGGTTCAAGAAACAAACAAAAGGTATTGTCATCGGAAAAAAATAAAAAACTGCAGGATGGGAGTAAAAATGTGAAAATAACAAGCGAGACAGAAGACGCGCCGCAATTAAGCTGCTGTTGTGGATGTTTATTGTTTCGCCATCATGTTAAAAGCCGCAGTTACCTCTGAGCAAACTGAATTCATTACTGATGTTAAATAAAGAGAAAAACAACGCGTTTAAAATGCAAATCAGACCACAGTTGAACTATTACAAGGAGATTACATGACTGAACATCTGCGTTTTAAGTGAGCAGCAGAGACTGGCAGCAGAAAAACGTGTCGTACAGTCAGACTGGAGGTGAGCTTCAGACGCCGGCATGTGAACACCCAGCGGGCTTCTTTGAACATCTGCCGCCGTTGTTCTTCTCGCCGTAAATCAGCATGATGAGTGCTGTTTTGTCAAAAAATTATTTGAATATGCTGCCGTTGTCAAAAGGGATATTGTTTGTATCTGCGCGCTCAATAAAGTACAAAGGGACGTTTGACTTTTTTCCACAGGAGATGTCTGTGCTCAACAACAAAGACAGCCATTAAAAACATTCAGGCTGCTCTCAAAGTGTTCATGCGGCTATTAAATGGGCTGTTTTCAGCCTCTTTTTGATGTCTGGAGCGATAATGAACTTGTTTGTTTGTGCACACGTGGCACCCGGGGAACGGCAGAATCTGGGACTTCATGAATGTTTCATGATTTAAAAGCAAATGTTTGGATGTCGGGGACACCGTAGGTTCAACTTGGATGCGCACAAAGAGATTGGAGACGCGTTCCCGCCGACTCCGGCCCGGTGCGACTCCTCGTTCATTTGAATAAGGCCGGTCTGGCGGCGCAGTGGGAGGATCCGGTGCAAAACAGAAAACAAAGAGGTCGGGGGAAAATGGAACATCTGGTGAAAACAAATGTTCCTGGTTGATTACTTTGTCCTGGGCTCTTCTGTTTATCATTATGAGCACAGACGAGACGGTCGGTGAAGTTTACAAAATTGCAAACGCTGCCTGTAGTTTTATAAAC